CCTGGTTTCTGCAGGTGGTTGCTGCCCCCCACCCCCACCCCCACCCCCTGCCATTGATGCTGCCATCGGCTTCTGCAAGTGTTTGCCACTTGCCATGCCACTGCCGCTGCCACCGCTGGCTTCTGTGGGCAGTCATTGCTCACCCCCACCCATTGACGTCACCTCCGGCTTCTGCGGGCGGTCGCCTCTTGCCACTCCACTGCTAACACTGCTGCTCACAAACTGTGCCCGCAGTCTCAGGAGGCACCAGTCACTCATGATACTAAATAAGCAGTGATTCACATGTAGCACAAATATTCCTAGTTAAAAGGAAGTAGCTGAGAGAGGTATGACAGGAAACAATCTTTATTAGAATGTTTCTGAGACAAGCTGAATCATGTCAATCTGTTGAGAGCTCTCATATATCCCACACCATGCAAATAAAGTTGAGATCCTCAGCTCACACAAATTGTTGTAGTATCAGTAAAGTCAGTACTGAAGATGTATGCCTTTAAGATAAGATCCAAAGTCAAGTCAACTGAAGTGCATGCAAAGATTCCATCAAGCATCAGACATAGCAGTATGACATTTTGGCTGATGTGTCATGCTGAAGTCTCTGGCAAAACCCAGGTGTCCTAATTCCCCGGTATTACACCTGTAAGGCTATCTTTTCTCTCTTGCAAGAATACTAGGGGTTGAACTCTTAAAACTGATAAGCCAAAAGGTTAAATACACACTAATAGTTCTCCATGGGCTCTACGAGCCCAGAGCATATAACCTGCCTTTTACTGTCCAAGCTATTTTTGTAACACGTGTAACATCCTCCCTGTTTACCTACTTCTTGCAAGTCATGTGTGTCTCTCTCATTAACAGGGCCCAGTCCTTGAGTTCATTTGTGGAATACTTCTAATAATTGGTTTATGGGACAATATGTGTTTCTTTAATTGTCCCAAGGTTGGAAGTCATTGCGGCCTGCCATCAGGATGCTTGTAGCTGTCTAAAACCACTATGGATGCATGGGAAAACCCACCAGTCTAGTATGGTACTGACTGTTTTCTTTATTTCTTTTTCTTTTTTCTGCAAATTTGACTCAAATTCAACTTATGATCCATTATGACCCCTCACATTCTTTTCTGCAGTACTGTAGCTTGGCCCATCATCCCTGATTTTATTTGTGTATTTCATTGTTCCCTCCTAAGATGAGTACTTTGCATTTGTCCTTTCTGAATCTCATCCTACTTATTTCAGGCCATTCATCCAATTTATCAAGGTCATTTTGCTTAAAGCTGTGTAAACCCCCCGCCAGGCCACAAGAAGTTTCACAGCAGTGATAGCATGTATATTTCAAAGGCTGCAGATGAGATGACTGTCTTCAGAAGCACCAACGTATCAAATGCTGTATGTTTGACTATGGCCTGCTGCACCCAGCACAATGTATGCAAAGTTAGGACACTGGTGGATGTCATAGCTGGTTTGCCCAATAAACCAGTGCCGCCAGTCATAATACAGAGCCCAGGGTAAAAGGACTTAGGGGATTGAGTTCTTGGTCTCTGTGTCCCCTGAATGGTTCAGGTTCCAGGGGATAACTAACAGTCCTACCTGTCTGCAGTTCATTCTAGTGCACAGTTCATTCTAGTTCATTCTAGGGTGGAGAGGAGCACCCTGAAGAGGTCCTAATGCCTTACTGAGAACTTGGGAGTGTGCCTGTGTAGAGACACAAGCCAGTTGTTGTAGAGGCAACTGGACATGCACAGGCACTATCACTGATTGTTGGTCCCATGCAGAGGCTTGGCCCCACATTGTGGCTGCATCAAACTCCACAACGGCTCTTGGGCTTGTGGGTATTAGCACTTGAGTGAACAACTAGCACCACTATGAACAAACTCTACCAGTGTTTCTGTTTTGCTCCTTCTCTGGGCTTTCATTGTCCCCAAGCCTAGCACTTTCCTGTGCTGCTCTTTCTTATCCTGCTCCTGTACCTCTCTTTCCTCTGGTAATATATGCACCTCTCCTCTGCCAATGCCATCCAGGAGGTGTTTCCTTTGGGGTCTTCTCTGTACTATAGTTAAATGGTGGGCTGGCTGGACCCTTCAGACCTTCAGTGCCTGTGATGGGATATACAGATACCTCATTGCTTTATTTTTAAATGCTACAAGTGCACTTCTTTCCCCCTCCCCTAGGTAACACACACACATAGACACACACATATTACTTTTATATTAGAAGGGCCCAGTTTCCAGCTATTATACTTGATAATATTTTTTGGTATGTCACCCTTGATCATTTTTCACATTGGGAATCCAGAAGCAGCAAGTGAACTGCCCTTGGTGAACTAAGTTATTTCCATGTTATTTTTTTTTTTTTAAAGATTTCTAACTTCCAATAGCCAGCAACTTGCCTATCAGTAGGTCAGTGATGGGAGATGGTAAGGTCTCCACGTCTGGTTTCAGGCTGAAAAAGTCATCAAAAGACCATAAATATATTGCAATATTTCAGAGGGAAGAAGAGAAGGGCCCTCCTCAAAGCATCTGCAGGAGCTTTATAAAGGCTGTGACTGCACAGCATGTCACTGAAGGGAGGAGTCTGGTAAGTTACAGAAGAAGCCCAGCAAGGTTTGTCTGTCCAACTGACTTAACTCACTGCCAGAAATGGTTGCATGTACTACTTTCCAGGTGTGCAAAAAGATAAGATTAAGAATATCCTTCTTGATTATGTTCTTGCCCTTCCCTGGACTTGTGCTGAGCTATGGAAGGAGAGAAGAACCATTTGGACTTTCTCTTTAAGCTCATTGCTTTCCTATTGAGCACTGTGCCAGGTGCATCCACTTTTTAAGGAGCCATGTGATTTCACCATATACTTTTTTAAAACTGTAATTGAAACTGCCAAGCATCTCCAGACAAATGAGATGCATGGAATGAGGAAGGTGTTGAGGGCACTGATCTTCTGCCAGGGGGCCAGGAGAGAGGAATCCAGCTTATAGACACAGTTGACTGCACCAGCCAGCTGCCTCAGAGATGGTGTCCAGCATCTCCTGGTGTTCATTAGGCTCAGAGACTAGGTTCTCTGCATGGGCAAGGATCTTCACCTTTCTGTTGTAAACTTTGAACCTTCCTGGACCCTTTGCAATTGTCCTACTGAGGGGCTCTATAACCAGGCTAAAAGCAATGGGGCTTAGGGGCATCCTTGTTTCACCCCAATCTAGATTGGTATATCTTATGACAGGATGTCACCCTCCAATGGCTGGATGGTACAGCCACTGCAGAGCTACTGAACCAACTGGAAGAAATGGCTTGACATTCTAAGCTCTCAGACTCTTGAAGATGTGTCTGTGGAGTAGTATAAAGGGCCCTCTACAGTACGAAGTTGTGTCCAGAGGAAAGTAATGGCCATGGTAGGTACAGACCTAGAAGCTTGAAAAGAACTTCAGCTGGACTCACCCTAGGATGTGAATATAGAAGTTTTCAGAGGGAATGATTTGGTGGTAAGGGCATGAAAATGGCTCTATGCTTCTAATTAGCTACCAGTGGGGATGTTTCAAAGTCTACCCAGTGTATCAAAAAACAAAACAAAACAAAAAACCTTCCAGTGAAAGACTTCCTTGGAAGCTCCCTACAGCAACTGGTTAGAACCCTCCCTTTTGTACTACCAATAGCACCTCACAGCATCCCAAGAAAGTGCCAAACAAAAATGAAGAATTTCCCATTCCCTTATGGTGCCAAAACAAGTAAAATAATTTCCTCTACATATGTTAGAAAACAACCTCACTTTTGAACTCATTCCAGCTCTTTCCTGAGGATAAAAGATGGCCATATTTTAGCAAAAGGGAATGATGCCATGTGTTACAATATAATAAATCATACAAAATCTAGACCCTAAGTCGAGTCAGGCTTTTAAAAATATCTCATGGAATATATTTCTATTTGTGACATATAAGCTTAATGTGCATATAGGCATAACAAGTTCCTATGTGTAGGAAAATCGGTATCTTTCCTGCAGAAATATTCACTTTATAATTGTCTTAATTTGCAATTCATTTTTGTTCTCATGGGGAGGTGGGAAATAAATAAATCTATTCCGCTTTGTGAACATAGTGAGCTATCAGCTGTTTAACTCCCTCTTTCCAATAGTCAAAGGACAATTTCACTCTTCAAATAAGTTTTTATTTATTGACTGGATTTTAGCGAGCACATACTGGCAATCAATAAGGGGATTCTTTTTTTAGCAGTGTTGGTCAGGCCAAGCCTCTAAATGAGAGCATCAGTGTGGAGAGTCTAGATATGGCTGGCAGCTGCACTATTCATTTTCTCTCTTTTTAAGGCCTTTGGTGTATAGTTTGCATGGACATGTTCTGCTCTTTTTAAAAGTTGTTATTTCATTTTCTTTAAGTGTTTAAGATGATTCTTTGAACACCAAAAGAACATTTCTGTAACTAATATACAGAGAGCAGTTCTCATAACAGAGTCTAATGTGGCAAAGGCCTAGCAACATGCAGTTTGCATCTACATGAGATGCTACTGTGCAGTAACAATAAGCTACTGTGCAGTAGCATTGGTGGGCACTAACTGTGATGTGACACTACTGAGTAGTAGCTTCTGAAAAAATTGTGGGGGGATGCTACTGTGCAGAAATGCCAGTTACTGCACAGTCATTTAGTACTTGGTTATGCAGTAAATGAGGCCACAAA